TCTCTTGGTCTGGCGACACGCTGAGACGGCTGTTTCAGTGCAGGGCCCAGCTCGCCGTGGCTGGCTGGCGCTTCAGGCGGCCGGGTCTGTTGTGTCGCCGTTACCCGGCACCGGCTTCAGCCGCGCCGCTCCACTCATCTCCGGCACTAAACAATGCAGCGGCGGCCGTGCGCGTCGCGTGCCGGCCCGCTGATGAGATTATCGACCCGTTTCCCGGCGCCCGGCGCGGGGAAGCCGGCTCCCGGGGTAGCCAGCTCTCGGGCCGGCTCTCGAGGTAGCTGGCTCTCCGGGCGCCGCTCTCGGGGCGCCGCCCTTGGGGTAGCCGGCTCTCGGGGCGCCGCGCACCAAGTAACTGCCCGCCGCGCGCCGGTGAGGCGATGGCGGACCCGGGCGCCCGGGGCCCGCCGGCTGCAAGGGGAGCTGCGACTGACCGGCCGCCCGTTGGAGGCCGCAGCTGCCTGTGTTGGTTCTCTCGTGCCTCGACTCTCTCCTGGCGAACTCTCTCGCGCCCCGTGTCGTCCGTCTCCTTGGCTTTGCTTCTGTCCGCCTCTAGCCCCCCGACGCACCCTGCCGTGCCGCTGATCGAGAGATACCAGCGCTGGAGGAGGCCGCGATGAACCTGAGGTGCCGGGCCAGTCAGCTCTGCCGGGCCAGTCTCCGAGCGGACGGCGTCGGCCGAGTGGCGGCGGCTTCTCCGCGGCCCCTGCGAGCTCCCTCTCCCTGGCTCTGAGGCCAGGCTCCCCTCTGCCGACCATTCAGCCGTCCGACCGCTGCGCCCCGCCAATATGCCCCGATGAATGGCGGAATCAGAGCGCGGAGATGGCCCGGACGCCGCCGCCGCCGCCCAGGCCAACCCGGCGGCCGATTAGGCAGATAGCTGGCCAGGGATGTGGACCGTGAGAGGAGGCCGGACGGCGAACCCGATCGGGCCGGAACGGGGCCACTTCCGCCCCGCCCGGCCCCGCCCCACCGGCCGCCGCGCGAAGCGGGTTCCGTCGCTCGGCCGGCCGCGCCGGAGAGCGGTGACGCGCGCACCGACGGCTGCGCGGTGGGTCGCCACCTTGCCCACTGTCGTCTTCACGGCACGCGGAGCGGAAGTGAGGACCGCGGCCGGGGCCGGGCGCCAAAAGCTCGGCTTTATCGTGCGACCGGCAAATAGATGGGCTGGGGCGCGGTCGTTCTCCCTACCCGGATCGGTTCGGCACAAAGGCCAATTACCGATGACACAGTTCCGGCGGTTGCCAGCAGCTGTTCGCTTGAGTCACGTGACCGGAGGTCGGAGCTAGACAATCGGGTGAACTTAGCTGTGACGGTGCTGGAGGACGGACTAGGCCAATTGAGTGAATTGCCACGTCACGTGACCGGAGCTCGGAGCGGACAATCCATTGGAGTTACCGTCACGTGACTGGAGGTCGTAGCGGGCCGGAGGTGTGCAGCCGGTCAACCGGTGGTCGCCGGCGTCGGAGAGATACGCGCGGTCTCCATCGCCGCCTGCCTGCGGCCACCTCGGTGCCGTCGTCGCGTTCTCGGCGGCCGCGCGCCGCCCCTGTTCCGGCGCTAAGTGCGGTGCGTGCCGGCCGGGCTGCTCGGCGCCCGCCGGCGCGGCCGACCAGCCGCCGCTGGAGGCCGACCTCGGCCCTGTCGTGCGCACGCGAACGGGAAGATTGGTGTATTTTCGCCGGCGGCCGGCGGCCGTGCCGGGCTGGCACGCCAGCACGCGGCGCACGGGCGCCCCCAGGCCGCCGCCAGGCCGCCGCGCCCCGGAGAGTGCACCGCTCTCCTCTGTTGCGGACGGCGAATGTGGACGGTACGGTGACGGCGTGCAGCTCGTCTCGTGTAGGGCTGAGCGCCGAGTTCGCGCTGGCGAGGGCCGATTGAAACGGACCAGAAGTCTTCAGTTCCCGGCCGAAGTGCCCGGCCGGAGGGCCCGGCCGCGACCGGTGTCGCCGCGCGCGCTGACACCGATTCTTGGAGGACGACCTGCCCGATCTGCCCGCACCCGTGCTCTAACCCGGCGCCGCTGTCGGGGCTGTGGTCGGAGCTTTGGACGGCGTTGACCCCCCATGCCCCGCGGCCACACGCCCGGGTTGCGGTCGGAACCCGGTCCGACACAGTGAGCGTGCACAGGGGCGCGGCGCCGTCCGGTCGGAGGGTCCCTGCCGACATCAGCGCCCATCGTCGACGGTCGAGCGGTCGGCCGGCACCGTCGACACGATCGCGTCTGTTTGGTTAGCGATCACCGATCTGTTGCCGCTGCCCGGCGGTCGCTGATGTTTGTCCGCGATGGCCGGTATCGCCGCCCCACGGACGGGACTTCTCGCCCGGCTTACATACCCCGGCCACTGACATGTCACAGAACTGACCCTTCCACTGATATGTCACGGATCTGACCTTCCCACTGATACACCACGAGCCTCGATCCCGTCCACCGACCTGGTCTATGAGCCCCATGCGACCAGTGTAGTCGGCGTGGCCTAAAGCCCAAATCATTACCGCCATCGCGTCCGGTTATGGACCCTGACCTCCTCCACTAACAGGTCACGGACTCCGCCCTCGGTGACCTCGGTGACCGGTCAGGGGTTGCGAGCCGCGGCTAGCGTCCGGCCCGGTTGGTGGTCGGTGGTGTTGCGTTTCCAGCCACCGCTGGCTGGCTGCGATTCTGAACTTGGTGCTCACTGGCTGACTGACTCACTCACTCACTCTGGCTTGATCCCACCTGTCATGGGGATCAGTATTACCCACGACTGGTTAGAGCCCTGCCACGGATGACATTGCAGACTAGAATAATATTTGAGTCGCTGTCCGCTGTTTCGGCAATTCGCTCAGCAAGACGGTTTTATTGAGCTTGCTGTTGCTTGTTTTACAGCGTATGTCTGTGCGTCAAATCAAGGTTGATTACAGATAAAACCAACGCATTGATAAATCCAACTGCAATCCTTCACGGCTACAGGACTATAAAGGATATTGGCGATCTTCTCGGGAGTCAGAGCTCCCGGACGAAGGAAGTGCTGCAGATATCACACACGCCATGTTTCGACGCTCGTCCCTCCGACCCCGCTCATTTGCATGCGGCGAACGTCCGTATCATGGCGATCGCAGTCCTGACGCCGTGTGCATTAGCGTCGCTCCGTTCCCGCGAGGCATCTGGCTATCTTCCGACAGGCTGTCTTCTATCAGGGTAGTATGGCAGCAGCCTCGTAGTTTAGCCTGCCGGTGCGTCACGCCTGAGGCGGAAATGAATCGATAACGGTATGCAGGACTGGTGTGCCCATGACGGGACGAAATGAATGGCTAGAGTCGGCTCACTCCACCCCGTGCTCGTCTTCATCGCCCGTTGCATGGCCCCGTTCGGCGATGTCAGACTCCGGCGCGGACTCCGGCGCGGACTCAGATGCGGACTCAGGCGCGGATTTGGGCGAGACTCCGGCATGGACTCCGGCGTGGACTCCGGGGTAGACTCCGGCACGGACTCTAACGTGAATCCGGCGCGAATTCGAGCGTAGACCCCGGAGTGAAGGCTGGCGTAAACTCCGGCGCGGACTCCGCGGCGGCGGACGCGGGCCACGCGCATCGTCTGTTCGTGAGGGCGGCCGACCTGGCGGCCGTCTCTCGCCGCCAGGCGCTCCGCGTGGCCCCGGGCACGCCGGCCGCGACGTGGCAGGCCGGTGGCCCGTCCGCCGGGCGCGGAGAGCTGGTGCGGCCCGGCCCGTCCGGCGGGTCCGAGGCGGGCGGTGTGACCGGTGCCAAACAGCGAATGAAACGGGCGGCTCCCGCGGTGACCGAACCTTGCAACGTGAAGTGTATGTAACCGTGCAGTCTCCGACGGGAACATTCGTACGTAGATTGACGTGTTCCGTGCTAGACTATGCTGTGAATGGAGGTTGTGGTCAGTAGCCGCGTTCTCGATTGCTTAGTAGCTCATCAGCTTGGGAGTACCGAGCTCTGGGACTGTCGTCGGTGTGAAGGACTGTGACGCTAATGGCCTTAGCAGCGGCACAACCACGTCGTAAACTGAGCCAGACGTCAGTGGTTTGTCTGGAGTGGCGAACCCCATCAGAAGGCGGGATGTGACAGTGTAGCACGGTGTTGGAGACCGTGCGGCCCCTGCCGGCCGAGAACACCTGCCTGACACCTGGCCGGGCAGGCGCGTCGGCAGTCGGTTCGTCGGCGCCGACGCGGCCGTTTCCGGCGTGACGCCGCGCCTGACTCACGGTGCCACCCGGTGAGCCGCGCGCGTCGTCTCTGACGGACGTGCCGTGGGGCGACCGCGCCCCACGGCACGGTCGCCGCCGCCGCCGCCGCCGCTGGCGTCGTCGGCGGCGGCGGCGGGCGTGAGCGGTGCGGCTGCCGGCGGTCAGCGCCCCGCCACGCCTCCGCTGGGTGACGTCATCCCACGAACGAGGACGTCACTGGATTGAATGGGGGAGGGGGGGGGGGGGTTTGTGTTGCATTGTAGGCCATTAGCGTTGCGCTCTTGAACAAGAGTGGCACTCAGTGCAGTTCGGCGCACACAGGCCGGCAGCCGCCATCGGCCGGAGGCGGCGGCGCTAGACCTCGCCTCAAGGCTGAGCTCACCCGCCAGAGGGAGGGAGGTCGGCCTCTGCGCTGAACAACAGCGCTGCTGCTGAATATGATTGCCTCGCGTCCACACGCGACCAGCCACTTAGCCAGATCTTTGTCGTTACTGGCTGTTGTTGCGAGCGCCGTGCGGAATAAGTTTGTGGAAGTGCTTCGTAGTCGGCGTGGATATGAAGCCAAGCCTGACTTAGTGGTTCATAGGAGAGCTGTTCAGCTGTGAGACGTCAGCTTCTGATCATGCCGAAGGCCACTCTTTACCTCAGACCGCTGGCGTTCTCCTCTTTCACAGTTTTAGTGATGTCAATAGTCGCAGTACCAATCAGCTGGAGAATGATGCCAGTACCGCCATCAACCATTCATTTCATGGGAAACTGGACCGTGATTATCGGCTGCCGACGTCATGACGTCCCTGTTCTTTCCAGAGCATCGGCGGTTATGATCTGGTGGATGCGGACCGAGCTTCGCTGGGTCCCCACCAGGTGACACTGCTGCGCCGCTCTCAGGCCGACAGCTTCGGCTTCACTTTACGCCACTTCATAGCCTACCCGTCGGACGACTTCGAACAGGTCAGTCGGAGGAAGACCCGCGATCTTAGTAGCTCAGCAAGTTCTAGGTCTCGCGTGGGGCACTGGACTTCGTTTTGCCGTGTCGGATTTTTACGTCGGTGGTGAACCGTGCAGCGTTGGGCAACATCTCTTTGTGCTCCGATATAGACAACTAAGTACATCCGCTTGCTGAGCAAGGCGTGCACTTAATCTTCAAGACACTGTGAAACATAACACCAATGCACGTGGAAAGAAGAAAGCCTCGTATGTTCTGCGACTTTCGCGGTCATGACTGAGTCATGGGTCTAAAAATTGCAGGTACTAGCATCGCGTATGCTTCTCCGTTGTTGTGTTTTTTCCAGGGGAGTTTGGGCTGGTAATTCCGCGGTCGATTGAAGGGAAGCACTCATGCGATGACCATATCACGTGGAGCGAAGAGCTCGGGCCGACCAGAGCCCTGTTATCTTTTGCAGCAGAGGCAGCCGTCTTGCGTGACGCCACGTGCAAATTGTCGGCCGAGTCGCGTTTGTGTTCTGTTATTACCTGACGACGACGATGATAGTGATATGCAGCTCATAAAAATGTTTCAAATCCTAGAGCCAGCCGGTTAATCGCATGGTCCATTTTCATATTTACGTTGGTTGTGACTTACAAACCTTGAGTATCTAGCTGAATCACTGCAGGGCTATACTCATTGCGTGAGAGATTTGCACAGAGGAGATGATATGACACAGTTGCAGGGTGTCAGGGGTGAAGGCAGCGGTGGTAAGGGGCAGACCTCATTGGGGAGAGATTCGCACAGAGGAGATGATATGACACAGTTGCAGGGTGTCAGGGGTGAAGGCAGCGGTGGTAAGGGGCAGACCTCATTGGGGAGAGATTTGCACAGAGGAGATGATATGACACAGTTGCAGGGTGTCAGGGGTGAAGGCAGCGGTGGTAAGGGGCAGACCTCATTGGGGAGAGATTTGCACAGAGGAGATGATATGACACAGTTGCAGGGTGTCAGGGGTGAAGGCAGCGGTGGTAAGGGGCAGACCTCATTGGGGAGAGATTTGCACAGAGGAGATGATATGACACAGTTGCAGGTCGTCAGGGGTGAAGGCAGCGGTGGTAAGGGGCAGACCTCATTGGGGAGAGATTCGCACAGAGGAGATGATATGACACAGTTGCAGGGTGTCAGGGGTGAAGGCAGCGGTGGTAAGGGGCAGACCTCATTGAGGAGAGATTCGCGCAGAGGAGATGATATGACACAGTTGCAGGGTGTCAGGGGTGAAGGCAGCGGTGGTAAGGGGCAGACCTCATTGAGGAGAGATTCGCGCAGAGGAGATGATATGACACAGTTGCAGGATGTTAGGGGTGAAGGCAGCGGTGGTAAGGGGCAGACCTCATTGAGGAGAGATTCCCGCAGAGGCGATGATATGACACAGTTGCAGGATGTCAGGGGTGAAGGCAGCGGTGGTAAGGGGCAGACCTCGTTGGGGAGAGACAAGGCACGAGTCATAACATTCTGCGTGGAAAGAACGGAGTGATCGCCTCACTGGCTGATGGATGGCTTCATCCCACTGATGAGAGCTCATTTTTGTTGCATGATCTGAATCATCGGACCATAAGTCATCCTAAATTAAGTCATTTAAGTCACCCTAAATCACTGACCGCCTTACTGCTTACGAGTCCTGTTGGTTCAGTGCGTGACGCTCATCGAGGCACCTTGGTCAACCTTCTGGACAGTGTGTCTGCAGAGACAGTAGAGTCATTGCTCTTGGCTGTTTGACAAGTCATGTTTGTTCATTCTCGTTGATCAGTAATGGTCGACTTTGGTAGTTCACCAACACTGCTGGAACTGGCTGTACAGTCGGACAGCGCCACAGACCAATCACACAGTAAGGAATAATGTCCTGACAGAAATGCGTCGAGGGAGCATCGGGTATGTGGCCACCTTGTACGGGGGAAAAATCCGTGTTCTTGCGCCGTTCTGACGACAGTGCCCCCCCCCCCCTCGAAACACACACGCGCGCTCTATTTCCGACGTCAGACTGCATGATGATCTATCTGCACTCACCTGAACGCGCGCCCGTTCTCTGCGTTCATTGTCAACCTCGTCAACCTCGTCATTGTCAACCTCGCTGGTTGATCCTGCACATTTGTTTTCATTCCCAGCGCGAAAAGGGCGGTCCGGCGTGCGCGTGTGGCCTGTTGGTTTGTTCGCCCCCTGCACCGTTGTCGCGGCACCCCGTGCCCCAGGTGGTAGCCCGGGACGGGGGTACCCTGCTAGCGAGGGCGGCCACCGGCGGCACACGGGGCGCGTTTGATGTCGGCTCCTGCTGACGTCACGTGCCCCATGTGACGTCACGGCCGCCCCGTCACCCGAGCCGAGCCAATTACGGGGCGTGTGCTGCGCGCCCGTTGCCCAGCGTGTCTTGGTCGGTGGGGTGCGTTACGGCCGCGCTGACTGATCTACGGGCGTGGTCGGCTGGTGTTCTCCGGCCTGCTGAGCGTGACATCGGCCAGTTGCCGTGGTCGCTGACGACGCGTCCGCCGTTCCAAGCGTCGGATGCGTGGAATCGGAGCAGTTTGGCTCTGACCGTGGATTGGAACGCGCTGTTCGAGTGGTGGTCGCCATCTGTTGGCCACACTCATGCGCTCGCGCTTTACCGTCGGTCCGTCCACTGCTACATTTTTATCGTTTGGTATTTGTTTGGTTCTTGTGTCACGACCCTGGCCGTGCCCCCGTGACGTCAAGTTGGACTGGCGCCGGCTGCTGTGACGTCATTAGTCACTTGTGTTGCCGCAGACGGGCGAGGAGCAGAGCGAGCCACTGGACACCATCTTCGTGAGCGGTGTGGTGGAGGGCGGCCCAGGCCACCTGGCCGGCCTCCAGATCGGTGAGTGGGTCCCCCGAGCCGACCAGCCCGGGCTCTCCTCACTCCCAGCCGTGGGGGCCTGGTCGCGGCGTCCAGCACGGGTTACCCGTGCACAGAAGTGAGGTGTGGTCGTTACTGCACTATTTGTGAAGTTCTGGTGTTGAGCAGTGTTTACTGGTTTGCGCTGTGATCTGATCTGATTTGAAAGCACATCGGCGCGAAATGGCTATCGTAATCGGCGCACCCCAATCATCAGCTTCATCAGCTTTGGCAAGAGCATCGGTTGCGATTGATGCATGCATGTGCACAGTGTGCTGCATGCCATGGATAAACATATGCAGAATTGTGGTGAGATGACTCCCGATCTGGCTGATGCATGCATGTATGTGGCTGTTTGCATTGAGCATTCAAACGCCTTTTTATGGATGGCTCATGGCTGCTTTTACGGTGTTTTCCATGTCAGTTGGAATGAAGTGGGATAAAACTCACAGACGTACCCGAGGTACGCTTCCCACTCTTTCTTCGTACGCTTACGTTTTGGAAGGGTATGTCCCATTTACGGATCTCGGGCTGGGTGTATCCGCCATAGTAATGTACGCTGGGGATATTATGGACAGAACTCGTACAAGCCCACGATGCTTGACGTGAAAGGAGTACACAATTGTCCGCCGTATGCGCGATGTGGTAAGCTCCCCATTTTGTGTCGAATGGTCGCCATGGATCCGTTGAACAAATATTGACTGGGCCGGATGTTTTACCCGTTACACCATGACCGCCTGTCAGCATTCCTTGCGGTTTCGTGTGCCATCCTGCGCCGCTCTCAGCCGGCGTCGGCCAGTGTCAGCCGTTTAAACACGGCTGCCCTCGCGCGGCGGTCCGGTCCAACCCCCGGCGACGTCACGGACTGGTCTGTTTGAAGCAGGGGCGTGACGCGACCTTGCCCGGGCCGACCGGCAGAGCTCGTGCTGGCCGGGCCGGCCGCCTCCCACCCGGCGCGGCGGCGGCCGGAGCCGCTCCGCCCGCTCTTGGACGCGGCGCCCGATGCGGCGCCGTGTGTGGCGGTCAGCACCGATGGCCCAGCGTCGCGCTGGTCCGCCGCTCGGCGTCGGCCCAGCGCGACGCTCGGAGAGAGATGGCGGCGTGCGGGCCCCGCGCTTGGCGTTCAGCAGCGGGAGGCGGCCGCCGTGTTTGGCACGCAGTCGCCGTTGTATCCGCACCTCGCTCCGGTCGGACGGGTTCCGTGCTGCGGTGGAGGTCCGACTCGGCGTGATGCTGGACCTAGCCGTCAGTCCCAGTGGGTTGCCGTCAGTGTCAGTGTCTGACACTGACAGTGTCAGACAGTGACACTGTCACTGTGTCCGCCGGTGGCGACCGCGGCAGTGAGACGCCACCTGCCGAGGGTCCTCCGTACAAGCCGACCCCATAAAACACGGCGGGGACGAAACGACCGCCGGGTAACGGTCACGGCAACCCTTAGGGGCCGCTGTCGTCCGGCCGGACTTGGTGTCGACGCTGGGCCACCGTGCCCCGAATTTGGGTCGTGCCCGGCTGACCGGCGACAGGTGCGCTGTCCTGGCGGGCGTGGCCTTTGTCTGCGTCGTGCCGGGGCATTCCTGTGCCGGCCGGCCGCCAGTTATTTCAGCGCCGCCGCCTTCCTGCCAACCCTCCTCTGGGCGGTGCTCCGTGCGCGGCGCCGCGGCCTCGCTCCAAAACCAACAGGGTCGAGCGCGCGCGCGCCGGCCGTCGGCGCGCCAGTGGCCGGGGCGCGGTGACGGCGGCGGCGGCGGCGCGCGAGACCGTCGACACCCGGGCACCGCACGGCGCCGCCGCGGCCCGTTCTGGGCGCGCCTCTAGCGCGGACGAGCGCGGCGCGAGGCCTCGCGCGTCCGGCGCGAAACTCGGCGGGACACGTTGTGGAGCGAGCCCAGGTGGGTCGGCCCGGGAGGCGCGCGTTGCCGCCGGCGCTGGACCCGGCAGGGGGCCGGGGGCTTGCCGCTGGTGCCGGCGGTGACCGGCGCTGGACACGGCAGGTGGCCAGGGGCTTGCCGCTGGTGCCGGCGGTGACCGGCGCTGTACCCGGCAGGGGGCCAGGGGCTTGCCGCTGGTGCCGGCGGTGACCGGCGCTGGACCCGGCAGGGGGCCGGGGGCTTGCCACTGGTGCCGGCGGTGACCGGCGCTGGGTGACGCCGTCACGTCGCCGCTGGGTGACGGCGGGGACGTCAGGGTGGGCTGACGTCGAGACGGCCGTGCTGGGTTGGAGCGATGACGTATTTTCTGAGAGTTACCTGAACGCCGCACACGCGGCTTTTGCCGCTATGTGAGCCCGAATGGCCATCAGCAGCTGAAGCTGAAGTCGGCGCAGTTACAGTTTAGCAACATGAACTCCAGTGGTGTTCGCTTCCTCTGTGCTGATATACGTGTTCAGCGGCGATGGTTTGTGCTGAGCTGGTACGAGTGGCGGCGGTGGTTTGTGCTGAGCTCGTACGACCGGTGGCGGTGGTTTGTACATAGCTGCTACGGGCGACAGCGGCGGTTCGTGCTGAGCTGGTACGAGCGGCGGCGGTGGTTTGTGCTGAGCTGGTACAAGCGACGGCGGTGGTTTGTACTGAGCTGGTACGGGCGGCGGCGGTGGTTTGTGCTGAGCTGGTACAAGCGGCGGTGGTCTGTGCTGAGCTGGTACGAGCGGCGGCGGTGGTTTGTGCTGAGCTGGTACAAGCGGCGGCGGTGGTTTGTGCTGAGCTGGTACGGGCGGCGGCGGTGGTTTGTGCTGAGCTGGTACGGGCGGCGACGATGCGACGCTTTGGCCCCCGTGTGGCCGGTGTCGTTTGTCAGAGGCAGTGGGCAGCCAGCTGTCGGCGCCGGCCATGATAAACGGGCTGGCTATCGTACCGGCCCGATAGAGCCGGCACTGCTGGCACGGCCCGGCCGCATTCCCGTCCGGCCGCGGCGACACCGGCTCACTCAGCCCGCCACATTACCGACACCGGCTCACTCAGGCCGGCACGTCACCGACACCGGCTCACTCAGGCCGGCACGTCACCGACACCGGCTCACTCAGCCCGCCACATTACCGACACCGACTCACTCAGGCCGGCACGTCACCGACACCGGCTCACTCAGGCCGGCACGTCACTGACACCGGCTCACTCAGGCCGGCACGTCACCGACACCGGCTCGCTCAGCCCGGCACATCACAGACACCGACTCACTCAGGCCGGCACGTCACCGACAGCGGCTCATTCAGGCCGGCACGTCATCGACACCGGCTCACTCAGCCCGCCACATTACCGACACCGACTCACTCAGGCCGGCACGTCACCGACACTGACTCACTCAGCCCGACACATCACCGACACCGGGTCACTCAGGCCGGCACTCCACCGACACCGGGTCACTCAAGCCGACACGCCACTCACCCGGCACATCACCGGCACCGGGTCACTCAGGCCGGCACGTCACCGACACCGACTTACTCAGGCCGGCACGTCACCGACACCGGCTCACTCAGCCCGACACATCACCGACACCGGCTCACTCAGCCCGACACATCACCGACACCGGGTCACTCAGGCCGGCACGTCACCGACACCGACTCACTCAGGCCGGCACATCACCGACACCGGCTCACTCAGCCCGACACATCACAGACACCTGGTCACTCAGGCCGGCACGTCACCGACACCGGCTCACTCAGCCCGACACATCACAGACACCGACTCACTCAGGCCGGCACGTCACCGACACCGGGTCACTCAGGCCGGCACGTCACCGACACCGGCTCACTCATCCCGACACATCACAGACACCGGCCCTCTTGCCATCGGGTCTGCACCCGACGTCGACGTTTCCAATCAGGCTAACTTGACCCGCACGCTTCAAGTAGAGATGGGCTTTACGAGGTGAGAAGGATGCAATGCTCTTGCTTAGCTCGTGTCTGCTTTATTTGAGAAGCAGACTGCGTTTGTATTCGATTGGCATTTGTCTGGCGTGTCCTGGTAAGTGCTTGAGTGCGCGTTCGGACGGGAGCCGGCTCCATGTTAGCAGTGATGTCGGCTGGCGTGTGTTGTCTCACCAAGTCGCGGCTGGTGCTCTTGAAGCTATCCAGATGCTCGCGCCGCCGAGCTATGCGGACTGGTCCAGCGTCAACTGTCCAGGTCTGCGCCTTTGGACTGGCCCAGCGTCAGCTGTCCAGCTCTGCGCCTTTGGACTGGCCCAGCGTCAACTGTCCAGGTCTGCGCCTTTGTCGTGAGGTCTTTTCGGAAGGTCCCCTGCGTATGGCCCGCGGTGCCGTGTAATTAGTTTTGTTCACCGTGCGCTGCGCAGTAGCCTCCCCGCATGTGGCCTTCTGGAATCTAATTAGCATTCCATTCGCCGTGTTGGGCGTCCATTTGTACTGGTCTCTAAGGCGCTGTGACCGCTACTCATCGTCAGCCCCCCCCCCCCCCCCCGTCTCATCGTCTGGTCATCAGCCTTACGACGCCGGGACCGTATGGGTTCTCTTTTAGTCCGCGGAACGACCCCTGTCGTGTATTGCATGTGTTCCAGACACTGTGGACACATTCTGACTGGTGGGATTTAGACCGTCGGTTGCGGTTCTGCTGGTCGTGGACAATACTGCAAGGACAATGCGCTTTGCGCCATTTACAAGCAGACTGGTAGTGCCACATCGTTAATCACCATCACTATCGAGGACACGTGGTCTCGAACCGGCGTCCGGCTATATGTGAAATCAGTTGGTTGAATTCTGATGGTGGCTCATTGTTGTGGCTCCATGGCATGTTCGAGGTCGTAGCACGCCAGACCGCGCTGGAAGTCAGAACTCTCAGTGCGGTGGAGCGGTGGCTGTTCACGTTTCTGGCGCAGCTGGCGCGGGGCGAATCAGACCCTGCTCACCCGCTGGCGGCTGCTCGTTCTCCGAAGGTGCCGCGGCGCGACAATCAGACCCTGCTCACCCGCTGGCGGCTGCTCGTTCTCCGAAGGTGCCGCGGCGCGACGATCAGACCCGGCTGACGTCACAGCGC